GTTAGCCTCTGTCCATTAGCTTCACTGTCTGTTTGTATCGCCATCTGTTAGCTGCTCTGTTAGCTTTACTGTCAGCTTTATTGTCTGTTAGCGCCACTGAGTTTTAGCTTTTGTCTGATAGCTTCACTTTACAGTCTGCTAGCCTCTGTCCATTAGCTTCACTGTCAGTTTTCTTGATATATTTTTAACTACATTTTGAACCATCTCATTAGAAAGCGCTAATGGACGTCACAAAATGTACAGAAACATTCACTTTCTCAAAGCTTTTCTGCTCTCTGAGGGAGGTTTCTGACCTTTTCAAACAGAGTTTGTGAGCTTCACGGGAGATGGACACAGATTTTCTGACAGTTGACGCTACAGCTGTGCTGCTTTGAAGGGTCCGGTTGAAGGTGTGCTGAAGAACTCGAGCTGTTACTCTGCTCCGACTGCCGGACTACGCTTTGTTCTTCTGTCGAGTCGCTTGTTTCTTTCCCACAGACTCGGCTGTGTTTGTTTCACTGATGTGGACTCGACTCTTCGCAGATCAATAAGAAGCGTCGCCTGCGAACTGAGCCCAGACATGAATCAGGTGGAGATCAGACGGAAAGCGTGGCGTCTGATTGGCCGCTGCCTGCAGCTCAGATCCACCTGATCAGAGCCGGAGCAGCAGAGCTCAGGTGACTGAAGTCTCAGTTTACCTGCAGGACTCTGCTGGACTCTGCTGGTTTCAAAGAGTGTCTGATGTGATGAGACCACCTGACTGAAGGCTGAGCATCAGCCATCTTCTCCTGGGCATTATGAGGGCCAGGATACAGGATGACTACATCCTGTATCTTGTTCTTATTACAACAGTCTATTCTATGCAGATCTTCCATCATTTGTTATGTATTTTTTATATTAGCCTTGATATCCAGGGAAATAAAATACTTAGCCTTACAGATGTCTTTTCATAGTGGGGTCGGTTCAGATAGCATTCAGGAAACTTTGAGGCAAAATCAGCCTTATATGTTGTTAAATTTCCACATGAAGACAACATTGAAGCAGCTTGTGTCATTGCACATATAATGACGATATATGGACCCACACGGACGCAAGTTCTTGTGCTTCTAGCAATGAGTCCACATCAACATTTTGTCAGATCCTTTACGAACTGGAACACTGTCTTGCCATATTTACCACACATCAAAATCTGTCTAAAACTATTCAAAAAGTGTCCAAAATAACTCAAAACCTGTCAGAAATGACACAAAATTGTCCATTTAGGATTTACTTTGAGGCAAAATTAGCCCCATAGGTTGTTATGAAGACAACACTGAAGCAACTTGTGTCTTTGCACATATAATGACAATATATGGACCCATACGGACACCAGTTCTTGAGCTTCTAGCAATGAGACCACATCAACATTTTCTCAAAATATCAAAAAACTGGATCCTTGTCTTGCCACAGTTGACACACATCAAATTCTCCTGATGTTAGAGGCCTCCAGAGTTGCTGAATAGTCGACCCAAGGCTTGATTTTAAGTAAGAAATATGGATATATCCATATATATAATATATATTCATGACTTACACAAATTTTCTCAGGTCACAAAACCACCAAAATTTCAAAATGTTGGCCTTTTTCTAATTTCTAAGAGCAAAAGTTATTCATTAATGTAATTTTCAACAGGTTTCAAGACAAAATAACTAAAAACTGGAACCTTGTCTTGTCCTACTTTCCACACATCACATTCTCCTGACGTCAGAGGCTTCAAAAGTTGGTGTTGTTAGTAGGAAACATGAAGACATCCATAAACTTCATGGAAATTCCTGGGACCACAATACCCTCATTTGAACATTTTGTGCTTTGTTTTACTTCCAAGGGCCATGAAACAAAATGTGTTGTCTGCTGGAGTCAGTCATTCACACCTGCTGGGAACTATTCTTGTCCCAAGTTTGTTGAAAACTACTCAAAAACTGCCCAAAATGACTTAAAAATTGCCCAAACGAACTCATTGCCATTTTGATGTCAAAATATCTAAAGACTTGTCATACATCAACTTCTACTGATGCTAGAGCCTCAAATGTTAGGTGACCAAAGACTGGATTGTTAGTAGGAAATATGAATACTTCCATATATATAAACTTCCAGGAACATTCTGGGGCCACATTACCGGCAAAGTTCGAACAATCTTGTACTTTTCTCCATTTTCAGGGATCAATAATTTAAAAATATGCCCTCTGCTGGAGCCATTCCATCACTCAGACCTGCTGGAAACTATTCTGTGTTCAAAATAACTTAAAACTTGTCCCACATTGTCCAAAACTACTCAAACATGGTCCTAAATGACTCATTTTGGTGTGTAAAATTATCTAAAAGCTGGAACCTTGTCTTGTCCATCTTCACCCTACTTCTACTGATGTTAGAGCCTCAAAAGCTGGTGAAATGTGACCAAACACTGTATTTTAGAACAAATGTGGATCCATCCATATGTATAGAGGAACTTTCTGGGCCCACAGTACCACCCTTGGTTAAACATTTTGCACTGGTTTCCAAGGAGGAGGACCATGAATGAAAAGCGTGTCTTCTGTTGGAGCCATTGAAGCTTTTTGATCAGCTGTCTGCGTCTTCACCAAACTTCACGGCTGTGGGAGTGTGATTTATGGAGATTCAGAGAAATATTTCCCACAACTTATGTTTGGGTCCCAGATAATAAATAACAGATTGTGATGTTGATGAGATTGTCAGGAGTCATCAGAAGATCAGAGCTGTGGTGGTGGGATAGTCTGCATGTGTTTAGTGGTGAACGACAACAGAAGTGATGGACTCACATGGCCACGCCGAAGAACTCGTGGTTGGCAGTGGAGACGACAACGTCGGCCTGACACAACACCTGCAGGTAATCGTCCTTACTGGGCAGGTAACCCCAGTTCAGGATGTGAGAGTCCAGCAGACGCTTGGCCTCCGAGAAGATCTCTGCAGGAGGAGAAGCAAGATGAACTTTAATCTGCCTGTAGTTAAATCTAAAGAGAAACTGCTGAAGATTAAAGGCAGCAGATTAAGTGTGCAGACGTTCTGTCGGTTAATTATTAATCTAATGAATCCGACGGTGCAGAGTTTGTGACAGCAGCTGTGCAGCAGGTGAACAGAATCAATACTGCGACCCTATTAACAAAATCAAAGTCATTAAAGTCGTCCTAATGTGATTGCCTGGCCGCGCTCGTGAAGCTGATTTACAGCCGGCTGTTTGTGCCGCACTAAAACTTTACGCCTCAATATCTCAGAGTGTGTCTGATCATTACCTTAAAACACACACACGCTCATTATCGCATCATCAGCTGATGATACCATCGATTAAACGGCGTCCGCGGGGAGGCAGCGCAGAACCCTGACCTGGAGCAGTGATTCACCTGAAACTGAGGACACAGCTGCTCTCATACAACCAACCTTCAGCCGGAAACCAACAAGAGCTACCTGCAGACAGGTGGAGAAACAGGATGTAAGGAACAGGTGAGCTCCACGGCTCTCCTCCAGGTTCCTCAGTGTGAAAGCAGATCAATGTCTGATGAAAAAAGAACTTGAACAAAGAAATGTGGATTCAGGAAGCATCTAAATAACAAACCAGATGACTGTTTTCACTGCAGGGACTTCAGGGTGGCCTGAAGCTTCATGCATGCTCTGACCACAGGAACCGTCCCTGCAGAACCTCTGTTGGCGCCGTCTTAGGGCAGCCAGAACATTAGCATTTGTTTCAACCTCAGAAACATCTCTGTTGGAACTTTTCAGGTTCACTTTGGGGTGGTTTGAACCTTTTGGTGTTCTGAATGCAGGAACCGTCCCTGTTGAGCCTCTGTTAGGGTCGTCTTAGGGCGGCCAGAACATTTGCATTTGTTTCCGACCTCAGAAACATCTCTGCAGGAACTTTTTCAGGCTCCCTTTATGGAGGCCTGAACCTGCCTGGCAGTTCTGACCACAGAAGCATCCCCGTAGAACTACTTTCATGGTGAGCTTGGTGTGGCCTGAACCTTCATACATGTTCTGACCACAGGAACATTCCTGTAGAACCTCTTTCAGGATCATTTCAGGACAGTCTGAACCTTTGCATCTGACCACAGGAACCGTCTGTAAAGGGGCGAACAAAGATTTCAGGGTAGGTACCTCTGTCCTCTCAATGTTCTCCTCTAACATGGCCAAGAACAGCGTAAAGTTCACCACATACTGCAACATAACAAACCTCCGTTGTTCTGTCTCCTACGTAGAGCTGGAGTTATTACCGGTTTGTTTAACGTCAAAGCTGCTGAATTCTAGTGTTCAAACAGAAAGCCTGAAGGGACTGATTAGGGGACTGATCCTGAAGATGTTCACGTCACCGTTTACACAGACGGATGGAACCACCTCCACCTTCTAGTAGCTCATTGGAAAGGTGGTGGAGCTGCTGTTTAGCATTTACAAAGAGGAACAATGTCCACATTCTGAGGTTAGAGACGATGCAGGGGTAAGTCAGCGGGCTTGGTCCCATCTGACTGCAACAACAGTATTTATTTTCAACTCAAGCTCCTTTCACTGTTTGTTTTCATTGTGTTCAAGTCATTTTTGCACCAAAACTAACGAATCTAAACTACACGACGTTGCAAAGAGACGGCATTTACAGATCAATGAACACTGAAAACAGCGCCAGTCTGAAGAAGCTGAGCAGGAACTCCAACATGACAGTGATCCCAAACACAAAGAAAGAAACATGTGTGTAACATGTGTGAATGTTGAACATGTGTGTGTGTGACGTGTGAGTGCGTGTTGTATTCGTGTGTCTGATGTGTGAGTTTGCTGTGTTTACCTGGCACGTCGGTGAACGTCTCTCCCAGCACCGACAGATGGAAGTCCAGCCGTCTCTCCTTCAGTTTCAGCAGAGTGTTGAAGAACAGCTCGGGGTTTTTGTCGTGCTCCCTGTAAACAAACACGCTGATTTAACCAATCGCATTCTGAGCAGAAGCATGTAGATCTCACATAAGGACGTCACGATCAATTTTATTGTCAATTCAAACAAACAACAGTCGATGAACATATAGGTCAGATTGTATTGAATTGTAGACCAGCAGCAGTACCTGGTTGTTCCACCAGGTGGAGCCGCTTACTGTTTAATGCTGTAGAGACCAGAGGAGGCGTCAGACTACAGCTCACGTTATCAAGCAGAGAGCATTGTGGGAGTTCAGCTAGCAACGAGACCATGACAGAGACTTCTGAGGAGGTTAATGACCGCTAACCAGTGTTCATGTTTTTAAAAAAAAGCTGAACGCTAACAAATGCTAACTGTCCAAGTAAACTGAAAAATGTCCGCTGCTGTTCAGTTGTTGTAGCGATTCATCGACTGTTGATTACGTGGCTGATAACTGGATACATTTCATGATGAATTGATTCATTGTTGTCAGTTTAACATATTAAAAATGTAGTAATCCATAGTGCTGCAGATGAAGAACATGCATTTCACAAAAGTAATTGTAAATCAGCTGTCGTACCTGGCTGATCCACCAGGTGGATTACGGTTTCATACTTTAGTGACCAGAGGAGGCGTCACTCAGACTACAGCTCATGTTATCAAGCAGAGAGCATTGTGGGAGTTTAGCAGCAACAGGACCATGACAGAGACTCTGAGGAGGTTCAGGACCTCCAACCAGTTTTCAAAACGAGCTGAAGTTTGATGAGATCAGGCCATTTTAGCGACAAACGCCAACAGAAAAATGTCCGATCAATTCATTTGTTGCAGCGATTCATTGATTATTATTATGTGGCTGATAATTGGTTAAATAAGAAAATAGAAACTTTATTGATCCCTCCCTACAGCAGCTGGATAGAGAAGAAATTACAAAAGTACAATCGGGCAAAAAGAATAAAGACATAATAATAAAGGTCTCATAGAGTTAAGAAAATGGTGTAAATATTGAATTCCTAGTTTCAGAGAAACTGCCAGACACGGCCTCTGGGAGGTTCAGGAGGCAGTCGAGAGCTGAAACTCCGTCTCAGCTCCGTTTGAAATGAACAACTGAATGTTTGGTGGTAAAATCTCAGCTGTGGTTTGTTTCACTGACGATGTTTCCACCGTTCTGGCTTTATCTGAGTGCAGTTGGCAGCCAGGTGAGCTACTGGGACGCCCCCCCTCTGCCCCGTGATAAAGTGAGACGGTCAGGTGCCGGCGGTCCGACCCGTCTCCACCTGATCGCAGCCGGTTCTGGAGCAGCTGGCGGCGGTGTGAAGGTCAAACAGCGGAGCGGTGATTTCCTAAGGTGACGTATTAGCGAGCAGATTATTTCTTCTCATTCGCAGCTCGACTCCCCGCGGACACAGAGATAATTCCCTCATTTCCCCAAAACCTTTTTAACTCCTTCTGTGAGCCACCAATCCTCCATCCCTGAGCGCTGATACAGGAGAGGACAAAGGCTGAGAGAGGGGGAGATAACGGGGCTGCCGTCCTCCCCCGTCCTCCCCCTCCAACACTGTTAATTAACAGCATGAGCCACATGTTCACATTAATACAGTAGCACAGTTCAAACAGACTCACCCCCAACACAACCTGAAACCATCTCCAACTCATCAAATCCCAACTTCTCATTTACCTCCTCACATGTGACGAGAAGCTGGATGTTTGAGGACCACGTGAGTCAGAGTTTAGAGGTTAGAGTCTCACATTTGGGAAACAAAATGATTACCTATGAAAAGAATCGGCATCTTTTCTCTCAGTTCGTGTCTCTTTGAGGTTGCTTTATGTCTATTTTATGTCAATTTGTGCCTCTTTACAGTCATTTTGTGTCTTTGCAGTCGTTTGGGCTCTAAAAATAATCAACCTGTTTTCTGTCATTTAGAGCCTCTGTTGTGTAGTTTTGTGTCTCTTTGTGGTTGTTTTGTGTCTGTTTTAAGCCAATTTCTGTCACTTTTCAGCCATTTTGTGTCTTTTTTTTTTTCCACTTTGTCTCTTTTCAGTCAAGTTGTGTCTCCTTTTAGTCGGTTTGTCTTTTTTCAGTCAGTTTGCAGTCGTTCGGGCTCTTTGTAGGTCAAACTTCAGAAGCTAAATGAAAAACTATGAAAATAATCAGTTGCTGTTTTGTAGCTTTGTGTCTCTTTGTGGTTGTTTCATGTCATTTTTCAGCCATTTTGTGTCTTTTTTTTAGCCCCTTTGTCTCTTTTCAGTCATTTCGTGTCTTTGTGGTCTTTGGTCTCTTTTTTGGTTAACATTTGAGAAACTGAACGATTAACCGTAAATAAAAACGGCTTCCTCTTCTCTGTAACTAGATAAGATAACCTTTATCGCTCCCTCACCGGGGAAATTGAATGTCACAGTTTAGTAATTTTGTGTGTCTTTGTGGTCGTGTTGCAACTCTTTAAAGTCATTTTGTGTCTTTGCGGTCGTTTGGTCTCTTTAAAGGTGAACATTTCAGAAACGAAACAAATAACTGTGACAATAATCGGCCTCTTTTCTGTAAGTCTGTTTTCATTTTCTGTCTCTTTGTGGTTGTTTAGTGTCTTTTTTGAGTCAGTTTGTGTCTATTTTCAGTCAGTTTGTGTCTTTTCCTAACCGTGCTACTCACAGCCTGAATACTGGATTATTCAGCCATCGGACCAGTTGGTAGCTGCAGCCCTATTTTATATGAGGCGGATTTTTCAAGAAGCAAAATCAAGTATTGAATGTCGGAAAATCTTAACAAGACAAACAGCCTTGAACCCTCATCATCACCCTTAATATCATCTTCATCGTCGTCCCTCCTCGCCGAGCTCCCTGATGAATCCGCATGAACTCGAGTGAGAATCAGAGCAGATACACTGCGTGATGCACCGAGCATGCTCAGTGGAGGCCAGCGTGCTCATTAATATGCATCAGGAACCAGAAGAAGAAACTCTGATGGTCTCATTTACAGATGAGTGATTAAAAATTCTGCTTCATGTTGAACCCAAGAGGTGCGTTTTAAAATTCAAACAGTATTTACTGAGACTCACAATGTGAGTGTGAAAAGCACAAAACTGAGGCCGAGCTCATTAACACACAGACTGAGCGTAAAATAACCGAAACACCAACCAACACATCGAAACCTATTTTACAGAGACACACTCCATGACAGTTTACGTAAATAAAAGAGAGAAAAGTGACAGAACGCTGCAAAGACTCAGCTGAAGACTGAACAGAAACGACGTCGTAAACAGGAGTCCGGTTTCTTTTGTGTCCTCGTGCAGCGACGCTCTGCTCCCAGAGCTCCTGCAACACTTGGAGCGCTTCGCAGAAGTCCTGCTCTGCAAACATGTGAAGCTCCATCTGTGATGAATCTCCAGAACAGAGACTGTTGAACTGGAGTTTAATGTCAGGGAAGAATAAGACTCTGCAAGACTCCATCGATTTGTGACTTTCTGTGTTTATTTTGTGCGTCTGTGTTCATTTTGGGTCTTGCTCCTTGGGACTCACTCATTTTCACTGGTTGGTTGGTGACCTGCAGATAACTTAGGACACACAAAGGACTAGGAAGCTGTAAAGGACTTGGGACTTGTCATGACTTGTTGAGGATCTGGACTTGTACAGGTCTCAAAAGCTGTGATGAGTTAGGACTTGTCAAATACTCGACTCTTGCAGAGGACTCCGGACTTGGAGAGGCAATAGAGTTGATGTAACATAACTCAGGACTTGTTATGACTCTGGACCTGCATTTGACTTGAAAATTGTCATGACTTGGGACTTGCATAGGACTCAACAGCTGTCATGAGTTGGGATCTGTTGAATATTCAGGTTTTGCAGAGAACTCTGGACTTGCAGGAATTTTAGGACTTGGAGAGGAGTCGGAATTTGTCATAACCAGAGACCTTCAGAGGTCTCTAGATTTGTCATGATGCGGGACCTGCATATGACTTGGAACTTGTCATGACTTGCAAAGGACTCAACAGCTGTCATGAGTTGGGACCTGTCGAATATTGGGGTCTTGCAGAGAACTCGGGACTTGCCATAACTCAGGTCTTGCAGATGACTTCAGATTTGAAGAAGTTTCAGGACTTGGAGAGGAGTGGAGACTTTTTATGACTTGGGACCTGCATATGACTTGAGACTGGCCATGACTCAGGTATTGCATAGGACTCAACATCTGTCATAAGCTGGGACCTGTCGAATATTCGGGTCTTTCAGGAACTCAGGACTGTTAAAGGAGTAAGGACTTGTCATGACTTGGGACCTCAATATGAATTGGAACTTGTCATGATTAGGGACCTGAAGAGAAATCTGGACTTGTCATGACTTAGGACCTGCATGTGACTTGGAACTTGTCATGACTTGCATAGGACTCAGCAGTTGGCCTGAGTTGGGGCCTGTTGAATATTTGGGTTTAGCAGGAAACTTGGAACTTGTAATGACTCGGGACCTGCGAAGACACAATACTTTGGAAGGATTAAGGACCTGTTATGACTCAGGACCTGCATATGACATGGTGGTGGTCGCAGGTCGTTCTGTTTC